CACTCATCACAATATCTCAGGAACTATTGAACATACAGACTTGAAAATTGTCAGGCATTTTTCTCTCTCATTGAATAGAGATCTACTAAGAATGGGTTTTGCGAAAATCGACCTACAAGAGTGGCTACGAGAGATTATAGGGCATTATAGGCAAACATTCCCATTTTTGAACTATTAGACCTACAGACTTGAAATTTGGCAGATAAGCTTTTTTCATGAAGTAAAGATATACCACGAAAAAGGTTTTGTGAAAATCGAACTCTAAGGGAGGTTTTTTTTGTGAGAGCTTTCGGAGAATAAATTGGTTGGTGATGATTCCGATTTAAATTCCGATGATGGCATAAGAGTGAGTGAAAGTGACTGCGAAGAATCCGAAGAAAGTGCAGATGAAAGTGATAATATTTCAGTAAAACCCCTGATATATATATATATATATATATCTTGGTACGTAGTATGACAAACTACAGGTGAAGGTTGGCTAGCCCTAAAATCTTGTTTAAACCTGCAATCTTGGTTCCTAAGGTCAGGAGTTTGTTATAGTACTACTGTGCCTATTTCGTATAGTTATCTTAGGTTCTAACTATCTGTGTATTTTTATGTTTTGGATTATACATTATATATATATATATATATATATATATATATATATATATATATATATATATCCGTAGGATTTCACAAAATGCATATTGCATAATAGTAATGCTCCTGGTAGATTTGCGATTTGAAATTTTTTGTGAGCAGTGGTCCGATAAGCTTCACGAAACATATTGTCAACGTCAGTTTTTTCTGATATAAAGCGTCGTAGTATATGATAATTACATTAAATATTATTAAAAAAGTTTTAAAACTAAGCCTTACTGAACAACAGCCCTGCAATTATTTTTCTATATATTTTATATCGCAGTGTCGAAACTACACCGGTGGACGTTTAAGAGTAAACGAATTCCCGGACATTCTAGTGTTAAGGCACGTACAAAATGAATAAATAATTTTAAATAAGATGAAAAAAACTCCCCTAAATAAACGAGTTTTACAGCAAAAATTAAAATTAAACGACAAAAAAACTGATTTATGTGTGAAAATGATTAGAGGTAAGAACTTAATGTGTGCATAAATATCGTTGTGTTTTTGCTCTTTTAAATGAATAGACTGCTGTTTCCCCCATTCCAAGCGAGAGTACATGAGAAACACAAGGTCTCTAGTGATAAATATGTGTAGTCTGTTTTTCTTTATTTTTTATTACTACTCGCTATAAATAATTAACATTTATTACATACATTATCATAAATTATTTTACCTGGCTTAAGGTATCCGAATACGTGGTATTTTTTTTAAAATTAAATATCATGACTCTTTTTAATTCTTCAGATTTATTTAACAAATTACATGAGAAAAAAAGCTAAAATTGTGAATAAAAAAATATTTATAGTGTTAAAATGGGGAGGATAGGAGACTCTGTTATATATATATATATATATATATATATATAAATGCTGCCCACTTTGAGCAACTGTTTACGACCGTAATTTCAAGTTTTGAAAATTTATAAGTTATATATTACCATTCATTTTTTTAAAAATGATCTAATAAAAAGAGATATCTAAATATTTATACGAAACATTTGTTATATACGTGGTTGCAAACTTTTTTGTAATAACGTAATGCTTTCTATAAAAAAGTAATTCAAAACAGTTATAATATTGCGCAAAACATTCACAAAAAATATCTGTTAACTATCTTAATAATTTGTTCATGAATCCTTGTCCCCGTTTAAAATTTTCCGAAAAAACCTTTTGCGTAAGTGTTTAATGTCGGTAACTGTATGCTGGAGAGAGGGAGAAAGAAAGAAAAATGGCACCCATTCTTACTAAAACAGTTCTAACATTTTGTACTAATTAATTATTAGTAAGAAGGTTGGTATTTTTATAAATTTAATAAATTTACCAACAAAAGGAATAAAAAACCCGTAAGTAAAAAGAAATTTAAAAAAAAAGATTACACAGATATATTGTGAACAGTAATTGAGATCCGTTATCACTATTTTGTAAAAGGGAAACAAAACGCTCAATCCCTGTCAAATGTTGGACTCCAGTGTTGTTTTCCATCATCGTAACCATTTAGTAACTTTGAAAATTTTCTCTTAAAAGATTCCCCAAAGAATATTCCGGGTTTTTTTACGGACATCTTTTTTTATCATATTTTTTTAATGTAGTGATTTGTCGATAAACAAATTTGTTGGCAAAGTCACTCCTAATCTCATTATTGATGAGTACTTTTTCTTCGCCAGAAACCAGCCACAGTACCTTTTCATTAAGGAAGCAAATACAGCTCAAACTATTCTTAATAATATAGAAAATATTCATTTGAAAAGAAATTTAGAATGGAGTGCCACTAAATTTTAAAAAATAAATAAATAGGTACATAATTTTTTTCACTTTTGTATGAACAATCATGGCAAATTATCATCTAATGCTCAACAATAGCCTTTAAGATAGGGATTAAGACCTCAACAGAGATCATGTGCCTCAATAACCATTCAGCCATCATATTTAGTCGAATTATGACATTTTTTTATATAAATCCTTTCTCATGGTTTCAAATTTTATATATATCCCTTTTCTTTTTGCATCTAGTTTTTTTTCAATACATCAACGACGACTTTGGAATGTCTAGAGTTTTTTAGATGAACCTTCCAGAACAGTTTACTTTGGCCTAAAATTATTTTTTACTTTGCAAAAACTTTACTTTTTCATAGTTCAATTTAATTTTTTTATCCTTTTAAGAAAAAGTTTAAAATTATTTCTTTTCTTTCTAATACCTAAAATGTTTTTAATTTTTGAAACTTCTACATTTTTTAAAAAAAAATATACATATTTATACTTTGGAGTGTGACAATAAAAAATATTGCTTTATCTTCGGCTGTCTAATTATTATCTATTTTTTGCAACTTGAAGGATAAATATTGAGCATATGATCATTAATTTAAAATACTTTTTTTGAAGCAAACATTGTTTTCATTTTAATTATTTAGAGGGTATTTATTTTCTAATAATTTCTAGGAAACTAAAAGTCACATCCTAAAAGGTAAATGATGTCTCGTAAAAGGAGTGAGTGAATATTAACGTCGCACTGTTCAGCTACACGAGGGCTTTTGGCGACGGACCACGTCATTTTGAACCATGGTCAAGTGACGATCTCGTAAGGGGAAGAAAACAAATGGAAATTAAAAACAATATTATTTTAGTAACTACTTTGATACAAGTTTATGATCCTTTTTTATATATAATTAACATTTTTCTTGCTTGGAATAGTATAAAAATTATTTTTATATTATGTTTAGTTCAGGTTACTTTTAAAACAACAATAATTTTTCATGTGGTACATTATGAAATTAAGCTGTAAGTGCTCAGTATTTGGTGAGTGTTTAAAAAAAAACTCAGACATATTTTTCCACCACCCCCGCAGATATTTACCAGACATTTACGTTCTCACCTTTCCTTTTCCATCTGCAACACTTCTTTTCTGAATACAAGAGTCATATTTCATTTCTCAGAAAAAGGGGTAGTCGAACAAAAAATGAAGTTCTCAATCGAATCAAAGAGTTCTTGCCAATTTGATTCAACACGTCTTGAAACCACACATACACAAGAAAAAAATCCACAGCCTGGTTTTTTCCTTACAACGTTTCTCCCTCCCCACTGAAAGGATAGCTCTCACGTTCCATTTCCAAAAATCGAATGTCACGCTCAAAACCTCCAATCATTAAACAACACACTTCCAAACGAACCAATAGATGAAGAGCGAGATGGAAAAGAAAAATGCATACACACTTTGGCACAGAAGAAAATTCTATTTCATAAAGTGCTTAATCTATTAAATTGATCCCATACGTTTTCTGTTCGGTCTAGGCCGATATCGATTCGAAAGAAATGCAAGGAGTCGGTGTACCTATACATCCCACGAAGAAGGGTTCTCTTCTACAGTTTTGTTCGCTGTTTGTTCTAAGTTTGCATCTAGGTGTGATAAAAGAGGTGATGCGATTTTCTTTTCACATAAAAAGTTTACTTTTTTAGCGTATATTTTTTTCGAATTTTTGAGAAAACTTTTCAGCATACTCATAGAATTTGTGAGGATTTAAGAATCATCATTATCCATTATTTCGAGTTTGAACTCCTTAAGTGCCACAGACATACATATACAACTCGATCAACCTACATATAAAATGTTTTGGACGTATATATACGTCTCGGTCAACCACGTGTTAAACGTTTCAGACGTATATATACGTCTTTCTCAACATGTATGTTAAATTTCCCTGACGTATTTAAGCGTTTCTCTGAAGCATGATTCTTTTCTTTGCACTGTCATCAGTGAAAAAGTACTGGCAATTACCAGATCAATTAAGTATAGAATTCGATGGCATTTTTAGGCATGTCTCTCTCATTCAGTTTCCTATCTTTCTAGTAGTGGAACATTATGATCCGCACCTCTCATAATCTCATTAATCATAGGTACGGAAATAAGTTTTCATCTATATTTAAAAACTAATGAAAATAACGGGAAGTATTCGACCCGCGGGATTATGCAAGGTTAAACTGAGTTAATAAAATGCATGTTAATAAATGTGTGTGTGTGTGTTGTTGATAAAAACTATCTCCATTTTTCTATTTTTCTTGCATTTCAAATGAAAATAAAAATGTAATATAAAAAACATCCATTCCTACTTGGATCAACAAAGAAAACTTTATTTTACTTACTTTTTATTAAATAGTTACAATTAATATAAATATGTCTAAACATATTATGACGGAATCACAATATTAAGTGACAAAATTGAGAGAAGGCGATTTTCCTTGCAATTCTTCATTTTCCTTTCTATACAATGTGGTGGACTATATTTTTAGTTTTCTTTTGTTACTATTTATTCATTCATTATATTTAATCATTCGAATAAAATAGTTTAGTAAAAAAAGGAATCACATTCTCAGAAATTACGCCATCCCAGGTGAGATTCGTACCCACGACCTTTGCATTAGAAGTCCAACGCGCGCGCGCTGTCCATTGCGCTACAGAGACACAACGAACGATTTTAATTTCTATGCATGCTGTTGAACTATTATTATTGTTTGTTACTATTTACTCATTTTTTAATTTAATGAATGAATTAATATTTGAAAAAACTGTATTAACATCAAGTGTTATCCACTACAACTATAAGAAAATGTATTTGAACTTGAATGGATGAATAGAAAGTGTTTTATTAACGACTAGCTGGTATACCCGTTCTTCGCACGGGTGAATTGAAAAATTAAACAATACAGATTGAATGATAAAGAAGTTTTTAATGAGTTAATTTTAAGCAAGTTGTAAATATTAAACAAACAAAAAAAACTTTTTGCATGTCTCAGCTGAACAAAAAAAAAATGTTTGCTAAATTTATGTCTGTAGATATAATAGCTGATATTTTCTTTTATTTATTTATAACACCCCGTAACTCTCTTGTGGGTCGATTTTTGAAAACACCTTCCTTCTGCTTAGTCAAAGTAGCACATTGTTACAAATTTTGCGTAATAAACGCTTAAAATAGTGTAAATAATTTGTATCTGGATGTGTAATACGTTATTACTTTCCGATGCATTTATTTTATGTTAAATAGTTGTTACCCGCGACTTCGTCTACGTGAAATTTAACAAGAAAGTGTTTATTCAATTCGCAGAGTTTACGAAAACTTAATAATTATGTAATCCATGTAAAGAAATACCTATGCTATAAGCATACTGTCATTCTTCTACTTTGTGAATCGATGTTTCTTTTTTGTTTTGTTTTTTCTTTGTTTTTTGTTGAGCAAAGAGTGAGAGGAACGCATGACCTTGGATACTGTGGATGGGGTGAGGACTGTAAAATCATTAGGATCAAAGGATGAGCGGGAAATGTCGCGAGGGGCATCAACCTAGTGAAACAAAAAAGTTTGATATAACTGCAAGAAATCGTTGAGACAGAAGGTTCGCGAAATAAAATAATGCCTATTGAAGTAAAATAATCCATATGGAATAAAAATAATAACTATTGAAATATATAATCCCTATTTGAATCAGATATTGTTCACTATTTCATTGGTTTAATTTAATTTTCGCGAAACCCAATTTTTTTTTCTAAAATAAGAGTAGTCGAAATTACTCATTGTAACATTAACTGTCTGCCAGTGAAAGTTCAGTCAAAATCGGTCCAGCCGTTTCACAGATTAGCCGGAACAGACAGACAGACAAAAATTTTAAAAACTGATTTTTTCACATAAGTACCGGACATACTTTTATATGCATTTGATAAAAAGCTGTTAATTTCTAATAACAAACACACTTCATTTTTATTTATATGTATAGATTGAAAATTTGAACAATATATATATATATATATATATATATATATATATATATATATATATATATATATATATATATATATATATATATATATATATATATATATATATATATATATATATTGCCACACGCATAATTTGCTACAAGTCCCGATAGCCGAGTTGGCAGAGCGTTGGACTGAACTTCCTCAGGTCTCGGGTTCGAATCCCGGCCCCGGCAGATTTATCCAAAGACTGGAATTTTGTTTCCGTTTTTAATGTATTGTTTCTCTAGGTTCTAGATGAATCCAGATCATTCTTTAGAGTGCATACTGGTTATTTCTCGAATATTCCGAAGTGTATAAAAGCAGAGTTCATCGCCAGTTGGGCATGTTCTCAGTCCAGTGTTGTATCGAGCTCCGAGCGTTAGAATAAATCTAATTGTTTGTTTAATTGAACTGTGTACTTCTTTCGAACTCCGTGACAAGTTTGGTGGAGGCGCCGGGTACAATTACGTCAAACGTGGATAATAGTGACAACCTTCGCAGGAGCCTCCGGTTAAGAGGATTATCCCCGAATTCGGACTGTTAAAAGAAAATAGTAGGAAGAGGACAAAAATGCCGACCGAGCAAGAAGCCAAGCCCGCTGTAGTAACACCTTCATTACAGCAATGGAGGAGCCCATCGACCTTCCGAGGAGCGCCTGGGGAAGACCCTCTCAAATGGCTTAAAGAGTACGATCGAGTAGCCAACTTTAACAAGTGGGATGACATGATGTGCCTGGCTAACGTTTATTTCTTTCTTGACGGAACTGCGAGACAGTGGTATGTCAACAACGAAGACGCTTTAGATTCCTGGGAAGCGTTTAAAAATGGACTAAGTGGACTTTTCGGTGATCGTCAAAAATATACCAGAAGGGCAGAAGAACAACTAAAATGCCGAGCCCAGCGTTCAGGCGAGAGAGTACACAGTCCTACATACAAAGTGTATTAGGACTTTGCCAAGAGGTAAATCCTCTGATGAAAGAAGACGAAAAGTGTCACACCTAATGAAAGGTGTTGCTGAGGATATTTATCAGGCCCTGTTGACGAAGAAATCAACGACACAGCAAGTTTTATCAAATGGTGCAACTATATCGAAGATATGAAGCAGAAGAGAGTTGGTCGACCGAGATTTGAAAGGCTTCCAAACGTCGTACCAGTTGCATCCCTGACGGATGAGACTGATTTGGTCTCTCTTATTCGCACAATCGTACGAGAAGAAGTCCATCGACTAGTTAACCAGACGCAAGAATCTTTGGACTCCGATCCCCAATCCTTAGAAGAGATCGTTCAAGACGAAGTTGAAAGGGTTTTGGCCCCAGTGTCAACAAAACCTACAGAAACTAGACCACGACCAACATACGCCGCTGTAACCAGGAAATACAGAGCTCCTGTTCAGAAATTCCCACCTGAACCAAGAAAAACAGATGTGTGGAGAACGGCTGACAACAGACCTGTTTGTTTCCACTGCGGAAAATGCGCTACTGCCGAGAGAGAAAGGCTGTCTTTGACAACTCTCGAAACCGCCGACGGAACTTCGACGACGTTGGCACTGAAGAAGAAATACGCCCACCAAACTCTTCTCGCCGTTTTACGCCAAGTCCCACGAGAGGCCGATCCCCAATACGTCGTTACAGATCCCCGTCGCCATATCGCCGATCCAGTCAGTCGCCAGGCCGTAGGAGCGAGGAAAACTATGAGAGCGACCTTCCAAGGAGGTGAGGCCGCGTGTACTGGAAATCCTCCGTCGACCGCCAAGATGACTGGTAACCAACCAGACGTAATAATAGATAAGAAGCCGATACGTGCTCTAGTAGATTCTGGGCATCGTTTTCTGTCATATCCGATAAGTATCGCCGATTTTTAAAGAAAGTTCTGTTTGCTGATGCCAAGAGCGTTATGTTGAAAGTTGCGGATGGAAATTTTGTTCGGCCGATAGGGAAATGTGTTTTACGTGTCCGTATAAACAATCGAGAACTGCCTTTTGAATTTATTGTTTTATCACATTGTAGCCATGACGTCATCCTAGGATGGGACTTTTTAGAGGCGTCTCAAGCCGTTATAGACTGTGGACAAAATGAACTTGTTCTAGAAGACATCTGTCGCGACTAACGCCTGGAATTTGTATGCCACCAGGGACTATACACTTAAGCCGCATTCTTTAACTAGAATAACAGTATCAGGATATCAAACCCGAGGAGACATAAATGTAGTTCTAGACGGCAGCAAACATTTGCTCTTCGAAAATATTGCTACACCGTCCATGGTATCCACATATCGTAACGGAAAAGTGATGTCTGGGTTACCAACCTGCAGTTCCGAAACCAAATCATCCCTAGAGGAATGTGCATAGGCCAAGCTGAACCACTAAATGAAGGGCATCTATGTGTTATTTCCGACACATCGGGTTGCTTGGATGACCAGCAAGAAACTTCGGAGTCACAGATGAATTGTTCGTTAATGATGTCACCCGAGTTAAGTGACGAACAGAGAAACAAGCTATCCGAACTACCCGGAAATTTTCTGGGCTTTCACGAAGACCGACAAGTCGACAGCCGCGAAGACGAATGTGAAACACAGGATTTTTACTGGTGATCATGCTCCAATCAACCAACGAGCCTACAGAGTCTCGCCGACTGAAAGACGCATCATTCATGAAGAGGTTCAGAAAATGCTTGATGAAGGTATCGTCCAACCCTCTGAAAGTCCTTGGTCATCACCCATTGTGCTCGTAAGAAAAAACGGTAGTTGGCGTTTTTGCGTCGATTATCGCAAGCTGAATAGCGTCACGAAAAAGACGTTTATCCTCTGCCTCGTATTGACGATACGCTCGACTGTCTGAAAGGTGCCATGTTCTTTTCTTCCATGGATCTCCGATCTGGTTATTGGCAAATAGAAATAGACGAAGCGGATCGTGAAAAGACGGCATTTATTACCCCCGAAGGCTTATACGAGTTTAAAGTCATGCCGTTTGGTCTCTGTAATGCACCTGCGACCTTCGAGAGAATGATGGACAATTTGCTACGCCATTTTAAATGGACTATGTGTCTTTGTTACCTAGATGACATAATAGTGTTCTCAGAAACTTTTGAAGACCATCTTATACGATTAAGACTTGTTCTAAAATGTCTTCAGGAAGCTGGTCTTAAATTAAATTCAAAGAAGTGTCTTTTTGCTGCCCAAGAAGTAAAGATTCTGGGCCATCTTGTATCTAGTAATGGCGTTCGTCCCGATCCCGACAAAATAAAAGCCGTAAGAAATTTTCCCACTCCAAAGAATATACATGACATACGAAGTTTTCTTGGCCTTTGTTCATACTTTAGAAGATTTATTAAAGGTTTCTGTTATCTCGCCGAACCTTTGCAGTCGTTGCTGAAAAGTGGCGTGGAGTTTCATTGGGGTCCTGAAGAGGTGGAAGCATTTAACAGTCTTAAGAAAGCACTTACTTCGGATCCAGTATTGGGGATGTACGACGAAAGAGCTTCTACAGAAATCCATACTGATGCAAGCGGGTACGGTATCGGAGCTGTCCTAGTACAAATTCAGAATAATGTCGAGAAAGTTATAGCATACGCTTCTAGAACTCTGACAAAAGCCGAAAAGAATTATTCCACCACAGAAAGGGAATGTCTTGCCATCGTATGGGCTACCAACAAATTTCGGCCGTACATATTCGGA